TGACATGTAAACTATCTTAAAATAGAATCCAACACAGATAGAACGTGTACAACATATAGACTCAAACTACAAAATCAACACAGGCATAAAATAAGCAGACAAATAGTGTGCTATAACCTCCATCTCTACTGTTAAATGTCTGAAAAAACATTATATTGAACACTACAGGCATACATAAAATCACGAGCAATACAAAATCAACACGGGCATCTACTATAACCTCCATCTCTGCTGTAAAATTTCTGTAAAAACATTATACTAATATGGCATAAAATCAAGATCGAAACCCATAATTGAGATAAAGAGAGAAAAATAATTAACTATAGGATACAATAATCTCTTTACGTACCACATGATTGTTTCTTATTCCCAGCTGGACATTTCAAGCAAATTGTTAAAAACAACCAACACAAAAATACTAAGGAAAACATTCTAATCAGCTTTCAAGCAACTTTCAAAACTTTCAAATACATGGAGCTGTCTCTGCTTTAGTTTCCACAATTCGAACACCAAAAGGTAATAAAAACAAGATCAAAGTCGTGTTTTCCAAGCACAAAACAGGCATCTAATGGAAAAAACAAGAGCACAAAGATATCGTGTGTAGAAACCACGACCGTCTAGTCGAAGAGGCTGAAGCCCAGATCCTGAAATTAAAAGATAAAGTTGAGATGACCATTAGTAAAAAATACATATGGCAAAGATGAAATAGGAAGGATTTACAAACAAGATTTTCATCCACCAAGACGACATCGCGCATATGTATTATTGCTAAATGTTATTGGGTGTGTTCTGCATTGTGTACACAGGATACTTGCTATTATTACCTATAGAAATCTAATAAAGGGCCATTCCCCTTTTTCTAAACAAAAGAAAACATACAACCATTGACAAGGAACAGAGACAAGGGTATGCACAGAAATGCACAAAAGTAAGAGGGTGATTGTTCAGCCCTTCATCCAGTAGGCATGTGTTTGTAAAGTGAATGGCATAAGAAACATTTGAGCAACAGACCAAAAGGGGATCTTGACAATCTAATCGGACATGACGAAATAAGACAGATTTTCTAAGGAAATAGTGACGGACTCAGTGCTCGTGCGAAATAAGACAGATACAAGGGTATAGTGATGCTAGAAAAAGCAAGGTTGCTTTGTTCTCTTCATACAGGTACTTAAGAGTTGGAAAGGTAATGCTCAAATAGCTGCAATCTTTGCAACCATGCAATTTCATGTTGACCTAGATAAGAACAAAACACACATAACAAACCAACCAACTAACTAAATAAAATACGGATTCCCATATTTTCACTTTTAAGGTTCTTAAAACACTGTTTCAACTGAAAGTCATCAACACCAGATAGATACACAAAGGTTGCAGTGATGCTATACAAAGGTTGCTTTGCTACCTTTATAATGGAACTTAGAGTTGAAAATGTAGAACTCAAATAGTTTCATTTTTTTAGAAAACACAAATATCATGCAATTGCACATTGAACAAAAGAAGAACAACACCCATGTCACAAACAAACAGAAAATAAGGGTCCCAAATTTTCACTTTGAGGATCATCATAAACTATTTCAACTGAAGTCATCAACATAAGATAGATACACAAACAAACCACCATCTTCAGTAAAAAAAAATGCATCGCAATGCAATCGGTAGACATGCATGTGTGTGTGTTTTGCATAACGACTTACGTCATCGGATTCTTCTTTCTCCTCAACTTTCTCTTCTTTCTTGGTCTCGGCCACAGCTGGGGCAGCTGCACTTCCAGCTGCCGATGAGGCAACTGCAACTGCACCACCACCGGCAGGTACAGATGCCAGCTTCTCACGTCCAGCGGCAATTAGCTCAGTTATGTCTTTTCCCTTCACTTGTGACAAAAGAAGCTCAACCATATCATCATCAGCCTCAGCTCCAACTACAAACAAATAACCCCAAATAAAAATGTTATCAGAGACAAATGATTAAAATGTCATTATGGACTCAAATGCATCATCAAGGCAAAAAGAAAACGAACAAAAAATAATAATCGACGGTCAAATCCAACACAATGCAATTCGAAATCAAACCTCGGCACATAGAAATCCAAA